ATATATATATAGATAGATATGGATATAGGAATAGGTATATATATATATATATATATATATATAGACATAGACATACATATAGATAGATATATACATAGTGACATATAGATATATATAGATACAGATATAGATATATAAAGATATAGATATATATATATATATATATATAGGGTTTAGGGTTTAGGGTTTAGGGTTTATACCGGCACAGGGTCTCCGATATGTACGCTGGCTCTGGACTGCATTTTATGCGGATTATGATAAGTGAGGCCGACGGGGACGATTAACACTTCTTCTGCGCCGTGCTGCATAGCTGACAAACCCATTATAGCTACACCTGCTTTTAAAGGCATCAACGTCGTACGGTCGTGGCTTCCACCCTGCAGCAGCAGCAGCAGCAGCAGCAGCAACAGCAGCAGCAGCAGCAGCAGCAGATAGAAGCAGCAGAAAGAAGCAGAAAAAATGAAGGCAGCAGCAGCAAAAGCAAAGGCATAAGAAGCAAAAGAAGTTTGAAACACCAAAAACATACATCAATATGCAGCAGCAGCAGCAACAGCAGCAGCAACAGCAGCAGCAACAGCAGCAGCTGCGATAGCAGCAGCAACAGCAGCAACAACAGCAGCTGCGATAGCAGCAGCAACAACAGCAACAGAAGCAACAGCAGCTGCGACAGCAGCAGCAGCAGACAAATAAACATAAAGAGAGACAAAAAAACATAAAGAGAGACAAATAAAAGGAGACAGACAAACATAAACAGAGACAAAACAAACATGCAAGGAGACAAGCAAAGAGAAATGAAGAGAGACAAATAAAGATAAGAAAGAGACAAATAAAAATAAAGAGAGACAAACAAAGGTAAAAAAGAGACAAATAAAGATAAAGAGAGACAAATAAAGACAAAAAGAGACAAACAAAGATAAAGAGAGACGAATAAAGATAAAAGGAGACAAATAAAAATAAAGAGAGACAAATAAAGATAAAAGGAGACAAATAAAGACAAAAAGAGACAAACAAAGATAAAAGGAGACAAACAAAGATAAAAGGAGACAGTAGTAAACAAACCAATACCTCAGGGAAAATGCCGATGGTGTCTCCTTCTACTAAACTCGCAGTAACCGCCTCATACACCTTCGTCTGGTCTATGCGGGGTGCTATCTGCAGTAGCAGCAGCAGCAGCAGCAGCAGCAGTAGCAGCAACAGCACGAGGCATATGGTATGCTCTGAGGTCTCGACTATTGTTTGTCTGCCGCTGTAACAGCGACAAGTTTAGGGTTTAGGGTTTAGGGTTTAGGGTTTATACTTTGTATTCCATTACGGGGCCGAAGCCGTCTGTATCGTCTCCAGCTTCAGCAGAAGCAACAGCAGCAGCAGCTTCTGCTGCTTGTGCTGCTTGTGCTGCTTCTGCTGCAGCAGCTGCTGCTGCCGCAACAGCAGCAGAACCAGACCTTACAGCAGCGCCTCCAGCGAATCCATGAGAAGGTCTTGCTGCTGCTCTTGCTGCTGCTGCTGCTGCAGCTGCTGCTGCAGCTGATTGTGCTGCTGCTGCTTCATTAGCCCCTGCTTCCCTCAAAACGCGATGAGAAAGACGCTTCCTCAGGCCTGTCTCCTGATCCAATGTCTCCAGCTGCTGCTGCTGCTGCTGCTGCTGCTCCTTTGTCCTCCCGCCTGAGTTAAGGGCTGCCTGCGCAGCAGCAGCAGCAGCAAACTCTGCCTCTGCAGCTGCATCGGCTGCAGCAGAAGCTTCAGCCGCTGCTGCTGCAGCGTCTGCTGCTAGAGAAGCCGCAACACGTGCAGCAGCTTCTGCTGCAAGATCCGCTGCTGCTGCTGCATCTGCTGCGTCAGCAGCAGCAGAAGCAGCAGCAACATCCCCCGAAAGAGAGTCACGCCTTAGAGACCCTGCGAAATCTCTTTCAATAGACGAGAAAGAGATGCTTCTTGTCTCTTCCTCCTCCTGATCATGCTGCTGCTGCTGCTGCTGCTGCTGCTGCTGTTCCCCTTGCGGCTGCTGCTGCTGCTGCTGCAGCAGGTGCATGCGTTCATCTTCTCTCTGTGTTTTTGCTTCTTCGTGCTCTGTATGAGACCACCGCGTCCACGTGTGCTGCGCTGGTGTAACGGGCCCCGCCGAAGCAGCAGCAGCAGCAGCAGCAGCAGCAGCAGCAGCGGGTGTAGCTGCTGCTTCTGGTGGAATAGTCTGAGAGCGGCGCAGCGCGAAGGAAGAGACAGGCTGAGGATCCGCTACAGCAACAATCTCAGTATCTGTATTAACTGCTTTAACATGAAGGGCCCCCTGTGCTGTCAGCAGAGTATCGCCTGCTGCTACTTCGCTTTTAAAACGGGATCCGATCCCACGCACAACTACATTCAACCAACCACCACCACCGCTGCTGCTGCTGCTGCTGCTGCTGCTGCTAGTGGTAGTGGTAGTGTTGTTGCTGGTGGTGTTGCTGCTGCTGTTGTTGCTGCTGCTGCTGCTGCTGCTAGTGGTAGTGGTAGTGTTGTTGGTGGTGTTGTTGTTGCTGCTGTTGTTGCTGCTGCTGCTGGTGTTGCTGCTGCTGCTGCTGTCGTTGGTTGTTTCATTTTTATGCCCATCTTCAGTTCCTTCATCTAGGTCTTGTTCTTTTTGCTGCTTGTCCTGCTGCTGCTGCTGCTGCTGCTGTTGCTGCTGCTGCTGCTGCTGCTGTTTGTGTGCAGGTCTTGAAGATATTTGTATTTTTCCTGACCCTTTCTTACTTTCATCTTCTCCTCTTCGCACGCTGATGCATGCAGCTAACCTCGCAAGACACCCTACAACCCGTCTCTTTAGAGACTTTGCTGCAATTAAGAAGCGCACTTGGCGAGGAATGAAGGAGACAAGCATCTGCAGCAAAAACAAAAGAAATTAAAAAGAGTGCTTTAAAAATAAACAAAAAAAGACAAAGACAAAGACATTTAATTATGTTTAAAGGTCTTCATGGACTGACGAAAGAAATAAAGCACCCTAGCATTATATAAATATATAAATATATAAGTATATAAATATATAAATATATATACTTATTTATACATAAATATATATATACATATATACATATATATATACATATTTATGTATACATATATTTGTATATATAAGCTATTTATTTACGTAATGTTTATAAACATATATATATGTATACATGCGTATATTAATGCTTATATTGATGCATGCATTTATATACACATATATATGTATATATATATTTATAATGTTTATTTAGTAATAATATATAATGTATTAACTAAAATAAAATAATAACAAAGACAGAAAAGGAGATGCCCCAGCACACATCACAAAAACAAAAAATATATATAAACAAACAAACAAAAGAATAGATCGAACAAACAAAGACAAACAAACAAAAAAAATATAAACAAACAAACAAGAGAATAAATCAAACAAAGACAAGCAAACAAAGACAAGCAAACAAAGCATAGACAGCGTTAAAGGTAGAATAAATAAATAAATTAATTAATTAATTAATTAATTTAATTAATTAATTAATTTAATTTATTAAAAGAAGAAAACGTACGCATGCATCCAGAAATTGGTTGTTGTGATTGCAAACAAATATCACCTGCAGATACACCCGAAGCAAAAGGAGACAGAAAGAGAAATATAAATATAAATATATACAAATATAAATATATATATATATACAAATATAAATATATATATATATATATATGAATATAAACATGAAGAACAAGAAGAAAGCAAGATACAAACAGAGACATAAAAGGAGATAGGAGAGGTAATAATAAATAAAACAAACAAAACAAAGAAAAGATAAGAAAAAAGAGACAGAGGGACCATAAGAAAGTAAAAAGGAGACAGATAAAAAGACATAAAGAAAGGAGACAGCAGAAGATATTGAGACAGAAAACAAAGACAGACAGAGACAGAGATAGAGACGAAGAGACAAAGACAGACAAACAGCGAGAGAAAGAGACAGACAAAGACAGAGACAGATGAAGAGAGAGAGACACTGAAAGAGACAGAGGGAGAGTCAGAGGAAGACGCCTGCGTTTGTGGTAGTAAGCTGTATATACACCCGAAGGTAGCTGCACATACACCCGAAGGTAGCTGCACATACACCCGAAGGTAGCTGTATATACACCCGAAGGTAGCTGCACATACACCCGAAGGTAGCTGCACATACACCC